TATATTACTTTCCGTCCCTTCTTCATCACGTCCCTCCTACCCTCCTCCAACACGCCCCTCCCACCCTCCTCCATTACCTCCGTCCCTTCTTCATCACGTCCCTCCTCCAACACGCCCTCCCACCCTCCTCCTTACCTCCGTCCTTCTTCATCACGTCCCTCTACCCTCCTCCAACACGCCCCTCCACCCACTTCCTCACGACCCTTCCACCCTCTCATCACGTCCCTCTACCCTCCTCCAAAACGCCCCTCCCACCCTCCTCCATTACCTCCGTCCCTTCTTCATCACGTCCCTCCACCCTTCTCCATTCTCCAACACGTCCCTCCATCCACTTCCATCACGCCCCTCCCATCCTTACTCCCATCACCGTCCCTCCTACCCTCCTCCAACACGCCCCTCCCACCCTCCTTCCATTACCCCGTCCCTTCTTCATCACGTGCCCCTGTCCCACCCTTCTCCATCACGTCAGTATGTCAGTCTAACTGTCAGCACGCCACTCCAAGGGTTAGTTAGTGTATCCGTTAGTGAGCCAATTAGATTATCCGTTAATCTAACTGGTGTGCCCGTCTCCGTTTCTTCCTCGCCCCTCTCGCAGTCCGCATTAAGGGAAGAGCCACATGCCAACGCAGGGGCGTCGCCTCTACTCAGCAGCCATTACGCCGCACGCGAACGCAGAGACCACAGCGAGACGCGGCGGCGGCGCGACGGCAGAGAGTCGCCCAGACGAACTGAAAGAAAATTACGCCTCCGCCCCGCCCCGCCCCCGCGGAAGCGAGAGAAAAAGGCTCGGCCTCTCCCTTAACCAGTTACCCGGAAACACTCCCCCGCGCGATAGCCATCTGGTACACAAAACCAGCGGCGGAGGTGGCGGCCTGGGCTGGTTGGGTTGGGTTGGGCTGGGCTCTTGATAACGGCCGCGGAAACAAGCGAACCTCGCTTCTCACTCGGCTGGCTCTTCGGAGAGCGAACATGTGCCAACACTCCGGCGACAAACACGCCTTGCAACGGGATTGCGCACTGGGGAACTACGCCTAAATAAACCGCTAAGTATCAAATTCGAAAAAGACAAAAACAACAACACAAATAAACGAAAAAATACGACAAAATGAAAAAAAAAGTGCTTTGGGAACTGCGTACTTTGCGTTTTATTAAAATTTAGTTTATTATTCATGAGCAAACGTTTACATGAAATAAAAAAAGACAGTTGGCGTTTTAAATACCGAACGGGTACTTACGTGGTGTTCGTTGACTTTTTGGAAGGTATTAAATGGCAACGTTCTGAATATAAGGGTAAATAGGGTATTTTCATTATAAAGGTTCTAAATTAAAAGTTCGGTGTAAACGTTTTGGCCCTCGCTGTAAATTAAATACACCGTCGATACTATTCGATTTACACTCGAAAGATTAGTTCAAACAAAAACTAATCACGTATCTTAGTTTCGCACGCCTAGATCCACTCTTAGATGAAGTGAATCCCACACCCACATTGGGGGACATTATACAAATTCTTTCAGTCGTGATTTCGTTACCCTATCATTGGTTTCAAATAAGTGTGCGAGGCAGGCCGTCACATCGCGAATACCACAAGATATCTGAGTGGGCGAGATAAGATTTGCCCACTCCAATCTACTTTCCGAGGATTGAAACATTTATCTCCGGCGCAAGTGTTTTGCAGAGAACGCACTGCTCGACGCTCTCTCTCTCACACACACACACACACACACACACACAAAGCGGCGCGATCGCAGCGGCACATCGCAGGCTCCCGCAATGTTTCATGTTTCATGCAGCAGTCGATAACAGACTTATGGAAACAACGGCGAAATTTTGCGATTTTGAAGAGATCAGACAACAGACTGCAGTGCAAAAACTAGTGACGTGATATCTCTGTGATAGCCTGCGGGTCACTGACAGGACCGTGCAAGTACTAAAACACGAATTCTATTCACCATTACTACAATAACTTCTGAATATGAATGTTGATTGCATATTCGTTTCGTTTCTTCTCAATACATCGACAGACACGAGAAACAACATTCAGAAAAAAATCTATAATAACTATAAAATATGTCAATACGTGAAAAAGGTATCAACACATAATAGAGTAAGACTAAAACACTTAACTCGGGTTTATTCCATATGTAATATTATACATCAAGAAAAAAAACCAATGATCAACTAAAAATCTAGAAACTAAAGAGATACATTCTAAAAACCATGGATTTCAATTTCAATTCCTATTTAGAGAAGAATAAGATAATAAACTGCGTTAGTTTTCAATCTTTCGAAATGTACATTACGTCCTCTGGGTCACGTTAGTTATCCAATAACACTAGAGAAGTACTTGATTGAAGACGTCAAGTAATTGTATCTATGAATTCTATAATCCTAAATATTGTAAGTCTGTTTTATTAATTTTTCTCACGAGTAAATGCAACCTGTATTGTTCTGTATGATTAGCCAAGAGGATGGAATAATTCTTTCCGAAACTTTGGTCAATAAACTATCGTTTTTTACCTGACTAAAATCTCATTAACAACACCCCTTATCAACAAGTCGTCGTGAAATACAGGAGTTTGTTTATAGTTTCCGTTGCAGTTCAGCATCCTGCGAGTTGTACGGCGGAAGAGTTTTATTTATCCCGGATGCGACAACTATTAAGATTTTGTAAGTGCATATCACAGTCCGAGTGTAGGCGGTGTTCCTTCCCCGCTGGACCTGAGAAGAAGGCTGCAAGGTTTTCCTCTCCAGGTATCCTCCCAACAGTACACCGCCTCAGCTTGGACAATCTTTAGATCGCCGATTGGTCTCCCGAAATGTGCGCTTGAATAGTGTATGCAATTATGTGTAAGTGCGCGCGCGCGCGCTGGAAGCGGAAAGGTAGGGCAAGGAAAGAACATGGGCGGTTTGTGATCGGTTTGTTAGGTTACGAGTCCGACATTCGCCTGGTATTAGAGGAGAAATCAACGAAAACTACGTATCATAGCTGCCGGCCGCTGTAAAGCTACAGTACGATTTATATAGTCGGGCAATTGACGTAAATCAGCTGCTGAGGTTTCATCCAATCGGGAGCTTATATGTTGCTAAAGCCACGTAACTATGGGGACGCTGAAGCTCCCGATTGGATGAAACCATGAACAGCTAATTTACGTCATGTGCACGGATAAATAAATCCATGTATAGATTGCAGTTTAAGAGTCGAAAATCCGCCACCGTCGGGCCTCGAACTCTAGGAGCGGTGCTGCAGAAGGAGCGGTGCTGCCACTGAGCTAGCGCAGACAGTCGGTGCGTCGACATGTGCACTAAACCCACCTCGTTCAGCTGCACGTCAGCAGGAGATATGCATGACATTCCTGGAAGATTCTATCCCCGCTCCCACACTTGTGGCTACAGCCTTGGCTTTTTTTTCTTAATTTTTTTTCTCGCTTTCATCAGATGCATTCTGAAAACCCCTCACACAATTAAGGGGCCATACATTCGCTTTTAGGTGGGTAGTTCAAAGTACTGGTAAAAGACAATGAAGAGGGTGGGGAGCTGATGAGAAAGGAATGTTTGTGCCGTTTGCACGGGATATGTGTAAACTTGACGACCGTTAAAGCGCGAGCGATACACACGAAGAGGTAGACACTGTTCACGCGCAGAGGCATCCACGCATACGATATCGCTTTTCAGAAAACATCGGGTAACCTACAATAAGAGGATCTAGGGATGGTCATAGACCACAAGTTTGTTTCGGAGGTGTTAGTAATTTCGTACATTGGTTTTCTTGCGAGCTTTCTTACAGACAATAAGAATGTATTTTGTGCCAAGGTTGCTTGACGAAATGCGAGGAAGTCGATATTTTTGAGACAGTAGTGTGCCCTCCCATTTCCGGGAAAAAAATTCTTGACTTTTCCCGGTTTTCCACAGATTGGCAATGTTTTTATTTCCACAGATAAGATTGGCAGTAGTTCACACCATTTGAAAAAAAATTAGTGCAAGCCTGGTACTATTTTCGGCTCTCGGATTTCACTGTGAAGTACAAATAAACAAAATTCAACAAATAAAAACTGAGTGAGTTTTTTGTGGGACTAATTTGTTTACTGAATAATACCTTTTTATGTAACCGTCTCAATAATTTCTCTGGCTTCTAACAATAATTCTACAAATTCCCTGATGATTCAATAACAATGTAATTCCCTGAATTTTCACAGTCTTCCATGTTTTTCAGCAAGTGGTCACCCTGGACATCATTCACTGTCTGCCTCCTCTATGACGTCGGTCGACTGCACAGATTCCTTGCGCGAAGTCTAATAATAGGACAGAGACACCAGAAGTGGTCACTAGGAGCACAAATATAACAAAATGTGGAAACTTTCTTCCAACTTTCAGAAAGTGAAACTTATGCTTCTAACGCTTGAGGAGAACGAAAAGAATATCATATTTCTCCTTTTATATTTAAAGAATAAGTTGGAAATATTTATGACATATTTAATGACAGTATTAATACTGTCATTGCAATAATGTAACAAGAACTGTTATTTACACTTAAAGTCTCAATTCCACGTTCAGATGCTACAAATAGAATGTCAGGTGAAAGTTACAACATTATCTTTGGGGTGTTTCAAGTGACCACTACCAGAAGAAAATCGGTGAATGGAAATGATAGAAATACAAAAAAGTTTTTAAAAAATTAGCCACTTTTCGTCAAAGAATCTATTCAGAAAAATGTACCTATTGTCAATTGAGTTCCACATAAATTGAAGACTGCAGCTCAAGAGATTTAAGAAAGCTACTAAAACGTTCTTAACTACGACCATTACTGATGCTTTTACCCCAAATTATTAAATTATGAACTTGAGGTGAAGTATGGTGGTGAATTATGAACTATCAATAATTGTGGATTATTTTTTTAAGTAGCTTTTCAATTTCAAGAGCGGTATTAAGTTAGAAGATACTTTTATTTAAGTCGTGTAGTGCAGGAGGGGGAGGGGGCCGAAATGGAACGATCATCTCATCACTGATTGATTAGAGACTCCGCACGCGTCAACTACTCAGGTCATTTCTTCCGTCAAGTGTAGTGCATGCTTTTTCGTGGGTGGTGGCGGTGATATTCCGCCGCTGAACGACGAGATCCGGCGCCAACCTACATGGGCGTGCGGGGATTTCCCCCAACCAGGGGGTCTTCACCGCAGCCAGGCCAAGCTCTAAGCTCTCGACTAGTGTCGTAGTGAAGTGCTGCATGTGTGGGTGTGTGTAAGTGAGGAGCGAGACTAGGACAACAAAGAGGTAGGAAAGGTAACGCACGCTCCCTGGTCCGTTTAATAAGGTACTGCTCCGCATTCGCCTGATTGGAACAACCACGGACACAACCGATCAGAGCAGCCGACCGCTAGAATTCTCCTAGCTGCGAAGCTCTTGTCGAAAATCTTGCCACCGACGGGACTGGAACCTAGGACCCTCCCAGTCAGAGGACACAGCAGTGACATCAATTAATGCCCTGAGCCCCCTTTGTCGGTTCATCTCAGGAAGTGTCGCGAATTGTTACAAGAGACGCGGAGGTGTTTAAAGAAGCAAATTTTTATTTTATTTTACGTACTAACGCTTGATCCATGAGAATTCAGGCGCCTATCTGAATGCTGTCCCACTGGACACCAAATATCGCGGAGTAAGGAGGCAACAGGAAAAAGCAACGGACGTCAACATAATTATGCTTTAAATGAACTTCAAGCGCGTGACAAAATGGTCTTGTAGCTTCCCTTTAACATTGGCTGCACACTATGAAGCAGTACCATTCAGCACTTTCATTCATTTTTAACAAGATTTTAACAAATGCGAATTGTTGATATCTCAACAAGAATTAAGTTTCTCAGATTTACCGCAATTTTGAATACAGGGCACTCCAATACACAGAATCCGATATTGCATTAGAGGACTGATCATGCAACTGTAGCAGAGTAGAGGATCGCCCGACTGCATCCCACTGTCAGATTTTCCCTTCCCACCCCTCCCAGTTAATCTCTTTTCACGTTCATTGCCTGAGATGGCAGAGCCCGCCCCCATCCCATTTCATTCAGCCGGTATTTCAGAAGGAGTAACATTTTTTTATTAAGTTTCTATTCATAAATACTTCAAAAACATGTTCTAACACCAGTCCAGAGAAAACCTCCCGACACATTTGAACATGACAGAATCATCGGAATTGTATATGTTATGCCAGCGGAATAAGATGATTCTCGAGAAAGGTGGTTTTAAGTTTTGTTTCTACAAACTTTGAAGTGCTGTTTTTAACTTTGGCAGTGATCTAAAAGTTCGTCCATGTTTTTCTTGAAAGCAGAAAAGTGGATAAAATACTATCGCACAATATTATTCTAAGCGACTGTGGTAAAAGTAAAAATCAACCCTCACTCTAAGGTGGAAAACGGAAGGGATGCAGTCGGGCTATGACGTTTTGGGGAGTTCACAAGTAACTGTCGTAGGTAAACCTTCGGAACCGACCGCGGGATGCAGTCGGTATACATCCGCAATGGCGAGGCGTGTGTGTCCCAAAACCCGAGAGAAGAGGGACATTTCGGCCACCCTTTCACCATTCAACATTTTTATTTCTGCGTCATATTTTACGTGAACAACAATTTTTCGTCTATTTTTTAATGTAATTTTGGGTAGTTGAAGGAAGGACTAACTCCGACTTCGTCATACTTTTCGGAGCGTTGATTTTTCAACATTTTTAGCGGGAGTTGGTCGGTTTTGGTTGTTTGCTATTTTGTCGTATTTTTAGAGGGTTTCTATGAGAGTTCGAGTTAGAATCGCAAGCTTCTGAGGGATAGGTTCGAAAGTTTCGTCACATGTAGCTCCATATTCGCCAGTTACAATCCAGAAAAAATGATGTATACTTGGCAAAATGATCATAGATTTTGAAACATTCAAGAATTTTCCATATACTTCATCCCACATTTTACGTATAACACATTTAGTATGGTTTCACAGTTTATAAAGTGACTTACTGGCAAAACCGCGCAGGAACTGTAATTAACACATTCTAATCATACTCTTGGGTTTTAAAGCAATTTTAATAAATTGTGCAAATAGCAAATGTCTGCATACAATTTTAAGTGACACCGTTGGAAAGTAATGTAAATAATTGAAAATATTAATAGCATTCAAAATATGGAATTACTCTGTGAATGTACTTAATTATTTGCAGAAAGACGTCGGCAAACTGCGGAACACCAGTACACGTGTAATTGCCTAACAATCGAAAGCAAATGTCACGTATACGAGATATCGTGTAAGATTTCATATATGATCCTCGAAAAAAGTGATCATTTCAATCCCTTAACATGCTTTAGAAATTTGTCACATTTAGTCCCAGACATTCTGTTCATTTCGTTACACATACTTCACCATACGAGTATAAATCATAAGAAGAAAATGGGTTTTATGTGATATTTATAATCCCACTTCCTCATATTCTAACAAAGAAATTTATTAAAGTTAATCCATTTTCCAGAAAATTACGTAAACGTCTCAGGGATATCACGTTTAGTATCCTCCAAAATTTATCTTAATTAATGGAACAGCAATTCTATATTTTACACCACACGAGTTTACCAAGTTTCAATTTAAAAGCTTTTAATCGGACAATTTTATGCAGAACATATTTATCAACGCATTAAGAGTTTCGGAAACAAAACTGCGTGTATCTCCACGTCACCAGCAAAAACCTTATCAGATTTGAAACGGAACCAATAGACCTCAATCCTGTCATACGGGCAAAATTCAAGCTCAAATGAATCTCAAAGCGGATTTTACGACGGAAAAATTGAGATCGTAATGATGAGGTTCGTCCAATATTTTTCGTCACTGCACTACAGCTGGGGATGATGACAGGCTTGGGTGGCTTATTAATGCCACTGTAGTGTCTGTGGCCGGGAGGTCATAGAGTTAGAGTCTCGACAGTGCCACGATTTTCGACAGTAGCTAAATAGAAACAAATTCAGTCACTGTTTGGAGGAGAATCATAGCCATCGGCTGCTCTGATTGGAAGTTTTCTCCGATCAACACCGGGCGAATGCCTGAGCAGCACACACTACCAAACGGACCACAGACCACGCACGCCCTTCCTTGTCCGAACCTCACCCCTTACTTTCAAACACACACCAGCATGCACTACTCTACAACACAAATCAGGCGATCGGTTGGGAGCTTACAGCTTGCCCCGACTGGGGCGGTGCCTCGCTAGTAGGAGATAGTTGGGGAAAATCCCGTAGGCCGTAGGTCGGCGACGGATCTCGCCGTACAGCGAGGGAAAAATCATCGCCATCTTTCGCGGTAAAAAAAAAAAGAAAAACATGCACTACAAGTACCATTACACCAACGACCTCAACCATTGACGCATCCGGCAACACCAATCAACCAGGGGCGGATCCAGAGACGAGCTTTCAGAGGGATTTTTTTTTTTTAATCAAATGGCTTTGGTTGAATGTGTCATATTACAGATTATGTAGAATGACGCAGACTACACTCAGCTTATTTTATATGTTTTAATGTTTATTCGAAAATATTTTTGCTTTAAAGTTTCGTGACAAGTTAAAATGAATAGTTATTGAAACATTTTGGGAGGAGAATTTCCCTTCCTGTATATCCGCGCCTGAAGCAGCCAATGAATCCTAGGGACGGCAACCACAAGCGCTCCACTGCACGTGGAAGCGGGGCCCGGGCGCCTACCTGTGCAGCGCATGTGCCGCCGCCTCCGCCAGCGCGCGAGGGCCAGGCGCCCGGGCGTCGCGCTGCAGCCGCGGGGGCGCGGGCGGAGGGGTTGGAGGGAGGGGGTGGCCAAGCACGACGTCACTCGGGCCGGCGACGACGTCACACGCGCGCACCGCAGCGATTAACACCGGCACGCATCTCTTGGATTTTACAGTCTTATTCTTAATTTTTTCCCTCTCTGTGGACGTCACAGTATTGCGAGGTACGGAAACACTTGGTAACAGATGCTTTTGCTTCCTTCGTGTTCACAGCGATATTTTTACACTTACAGTATATATTTTGTATTCCACCCTGGACGACTGTTTTCAGTCGTAACGAAACACTTGTCGTACACACTTTCGAGTCACCCGCGGAATTCCCATTCTTAAATAATTTATTTTATTCTCACCTGGACGTCACGGTTTTTCTTCGCGCCTCACTCGCCACAGACACTTCAGCGTGTTTTATTTGTTTATTTATCGTCATTTATTTCCGTTGCCACTAAGCTGCTACCGTTTTCGTCACCGTTCGCAGACGTCGAGCCGCCGCCGCCGCGAGTTTACATAACTTCTCCGCCGCGGGACGTGCCTCGCGCGAGGCAACCGCCGCTCTTGGTTCTGGCCGGCGACCGCGGCGCGCGGCAATCAAGATTTGGTGGCGCCGCGCCGCTCGTCAAGGCGACCGTCAGAGGCGCGCACGGCTCACGCGAGGAGGAGGTGGCGGTTTGGCCCGGCGCGAGGTGTCGGGTTTCTGAGGCCTCCGCAGGTGTGTGCGTGCGAGTGTGGTGGGCGGGGCGCGGGCCGGGGCGGCGCAGCGGTACCTGGCGGCCCGGCGAACCAGACTGCGCCGGCGGCGGCGGAGCAGCCGGCGCCGAGGCCAGACACCCAGCGCCCAGGCCGCACGCCCTCAGCGGCCGCCCAGGGAAGCGACCTGCCGCGGCCCGCAGTGGGCCGACACCGTGCAATTCCATTCGAATATAAAAATGCGACCAGTTTTTTTAAAATTTCGTTTCATGGGGACCGGAGGTCAATTGGAATTCTTCGGTGTTATTGTAATTGCTTTCAGATAAGTGCGGACGAAGCTTACAATTCAATATAGAAGTACAGCGGAAAATGTCTATTTACGTACCTTGGGAAGGAGGGGTGGAATTTTTTTATTGCTTGATTAACAGAGGTAAGTTCATAAAAATTAGTGTTTCAAAAGTGTACACACACACACACACACACACACACACACATTACACACACACACACGTGCACCACACCCACACACCACCACCACGTGTGGTGTGCCTTTTTTTTTTCCGAGTTTTTTTGGCGAGTGAAAGTGAAAGAAAAAGGGAATGATAACAAAAAACGAACGGTCTAGTCATCATTATATTAATTTAGAATTGTTCACCTCCTCTTAAAATAATTGTCGATGGTTTCGGTGTGTGAAATTGCATGAAGATGCACACTTGAACGAAATGAAAAGCGTAGGTTAACTGAACGTGTTTGAAGTAAGTGGGAGGATAGAGCCAGGAATGATTCCTCACTGTTTGTTAGGATACTGCATTGTCCTGGTGTTGATCGGAAGAAACCACGGAAAAATTCCAGATCAGAGCAGGCGGCCACTTGAATTCTCCGCCAGACATTGAATTCCACCTGCTACCTACGCTATCACCAACAAGATCAAGAAAATGAGGAACATTTCTGGCCGAGCCCCTTTTATCGGTCTACATGATTAGAGTGGGGTTCTTCACCAGACATCAGGCCCAGAAGAACGACATTGATTTCACCCTAGTTGCCGAAAGCCAAATTAATATTATATTGTTACTGCAGTATAATTTTAAAGCCCCCTTAACGTAACACTATTTTAGAAGCAAACGCTTGCTCTTCACAGCTATTGAAACTCATCATGACATGAGATCAACTGTTGATGCTCAAAGCCATTCTGCATCAATTCAATGAGTATCACATTATGGTTTTCTCTTCGGCAGCCAACGTGCTAGTATCAAAATCAGGTACGGTTTGGAATCGAATCCTAGGGCCCCCAATGGAGAATCGTTGCAGGCAGCCGCAATGCCCGAGGCTAAACTGCAACTGGCCTAAAAGTTTATTTCAAGAAACCAGTCAAACGTCAAATTCCTCATTTCGAGAAAACTGTAATAATCTTCCCAATTTTCAGATATCAAAATTCTTTTTTTATTAAAGATGTTAAACGAATATTTTTCATACACATATGCACTAAACGATGTGTCTGTCCTTCTGGAACAATAATCTGTCGGCTTAAAGCGTGTTTATATTTTGGCATTTGACATGTTTCTGATATAAACGATTCATGAATCGTTTTATTTCAGAAACCCCTCAAAACGCTAAATCCTCATTTCGAGAAACCTGAGAATAAGTCTTCCAATTTTTTCAGAGATTTCAAACCATTACTTTTCTTAAGGAGTGATAAATTAATAATTTCAATTACTATGCCACTAAACGATGTGACTATACCTCCTGAATATTAAACCGCCGCTAAAGCAGTTTAGATTTCGGCGTTTGAAATAAACTATTCAATTGAGGCCGCCGCATGGGACTTTCCGGAGCACGACTTCGGGCCCACTGCGCGCTCATAGCGTCCGGAGGGGGAGGGAGGGGGAGGGGAGGGGGAGGGGAGGGGAGGGGAGGGGCGAGGCGCGCGCGCGGCGGGCGGCTCACGTGCTCGGGGGCCCGCGCGGCGGTGCGGCGCGTTGCCTAGCAACGGCGCGCATCTGTTGCTCCGGGGACGGCGCGGCGCTGGCCCGACTCGCGTCGCCGCCTCCGCGTGACTCACTGAATGGCTCTGCTCTGCTCTGCTCTCCTCTCCACTCCACTCCACTCGTCCCCGCCGTTATTGACGTCCGCCCCGCCCCACGCCGGTCGGGACGACGACACGCGGAGCGCGACGCGAGATTAGCTCAGAGCCAGCATTGCGCCGTCTCTGCAGCCAATCTCAGCGGGGGGTCCTAGGGATCGAGTCCCGGTGGCGCTACCAACTACCGTACGAAATACTTCCACGAAAAATCATTCCGTCACCTCACAAGATAGCTCATTTGTAATAAAGAATGCCTATAATAAAATCGGGAGATCTAGGAGTAAAGGTTTCAGGTAGTGTTATAGAATTTTTCAATGTTTTTTGTTACGTTGTGTATACTTTGTTTTGTTCTGTTTCTGATAGCTAAGGTATATGCGACTTTCAAATAAACAAAAGTAATAAAAATTATTTATGATACGAGTGGTAAAAGTGACACTTTAAAATTGCGAGTAGGAAAGGTTTGCGACACCTGGCAAAGAGAGGCGCAATCCTAAGAGCAAAAATAAAATTACTTTTACCACGTGTTTCATTAACTACTTTTTTAACAGCCTTACTGACTACTTATTAATTTAAGTATACAAATCCCTTAACGACTAGGGTTAATAGAAGCTGACACGGTCAGACGAAAGTATTTTGTTTTCCTTGTTACATTAACAGATTTATATCAACACTTTAGCATCGTCTTTTAGCACTAGTGCTAACTAAGGGTGCTACAACAGCCCATACTTTCTCACACTATTGGGAACTGTTATGTAATATTGTTCCCCTACTAACACTTCAGGAATACCATGCAAAAGTTCAATTCAACGAATTCAAACGAAAGCCTATGGTGCATATCTGCATTTATTTTGATAGACAGGAACAGTAGGTCCTTTTACAAATGAAACAAATGAATATAATTGTTACAATTTATGTACGACATTATGAATAAAACATTAATTTTTCACAAGCTTGCCCTCATTACATCGAAGGGGGCTTCGAATTTCTGTACATTATAATCAGAAACCAAAACTTAAAGTAAAAGTAATCGTTAGTTCTATGTAAAATGTATTACTTTTCTCAAATCTAATTCCTTCAATCAGAATATTATCTACATCGTACTATTAAAAAGACCGGCAACAATGACAAAAATCGTAAGAATTTCCAACCGTCATGATGTCATTTTGCGAACCAACACCGCGTCATACGAATCGCAGGAAATTCTAATTTACCATTTCGATTTTTATTTCTTCCAATTTTCGAAAATATAGCGGGCACCGAAAGTACAAGAGTGTGCCAAAAATGGGACCTGCACCACTTTCTTTACCGTTCTTTGTTACATATATTTAAAAAAAGTACTAGGAACCGTTTCTGAGAAAATAATTGTTTAAAATTTAAAAACTGCCTATGTTTCACGCAATATTACACTAAAATGATTATATATGTATTTTCTGAAAAATACTGTTACTGTTTCAAGGACTGCTTTTGATGGAGACATTTCAAAAAGAAAAAAATGTTCATAATTGTAGGAAGACGCCGAAAAAATTGAATTTTTGCAATTGTCGAAAAATCAGAGACTTTAACGAAAATGAAACCTGCACCATTATCTTAAGCGTTCATTACGCTTTTCCAAGGACAAAATTTAATCGAAGAATTTAAGCCATTTTTTGAAAATGCTGAGGCTCTATGTAAAATACTCTGAAAATTAAAATATGTTTCAAATTCCAGGGGTCGCGACTTCAACCTGATGATTAGGGAATATCAATTTTGGTGAAAATCATGCTTACGGTAGCTGGCGTTGTGCATAGATAGACGAGCACGCGTTTTGCCATCAATCGAATTCCCAAGGACCCTTAAAACATGGATTCTGACTACATAGCTTGTTAGATGAAGTAATGTGCAACATATAGCGACAAGGTTTATCCATTTTTTCGTTTCCAGGGCCCGGCAATAAGTGTTTTTCAGTCCAAAATTCGCAATTTTCCCCGCAGCATTGCATAACTATATTGCGTAAGTAGTAGCGAGAAAATAAAAATTGAACTTTTAGCTATGCATGTCCCTGATAAATCACTTTTACTAGTGGTTTACTAAAAAAAATACTGATGGGATGAGGATCAGATGAGAGACTTCGTGAGAAAGCAAACCAGAGCGGTGACAGAGCGGTTGGTGCAGCAGCTGTCTCCGCTATTTAGGTCGGCGGCCAGCTGGTGGTGCGGGTAAATGTTAGGGGGCTAGTGCATATTTTAAGCTTAATTTTTTTCCGGATAATATTATTTTTGACACAACAGAGCACATCGACGATAGCAGCATACCACTGCTGCCGTGTATGTGCACGGATTTAAAGCCACCAAGGGAACTACGACTCCCAGCCGTGTAATAAACACGTCCATCTCACAGGCGCAAACAGAAACTGGAATTAAACCCAGTAACATCCAGAACGTTCCTAGCGTTTCTTTGTAATTAAAAAAAGTACACAACTCAAATAGTGCGCAGTTTGTTTATTTTTATTATACTTGTTTCTCTGTGATTGTACTGTAAAAACCTAAAATTTTGTATTGTTTATATAGTATAATATAACATTACCTGGCGAACTATTTTGGAGATCGTTGCTCTTGCTTCGCTTTTGGTAGTGTGGTAGAAGTAAACTTGTGTATCGCGTTAACTCAAAGGAAATATTTTAAGTGGATGTCTAGAATTAACATAACGGATTTTAGGTCTGAACAAAGACACGCAAATGTCTGAGAGGGGTAAAAGCTTAAACGCCAAACTGAAAACATTTACAAAGACATATGTTTGCATCTGCAGAAACTATTTAAATTAGCAGGAATGATCGTCATTTCGAACCTTTTCCTCTTCTTGGTAGTACTCACACTTTTCAAAAAATGCACGGGGTATTTAAAGATTCAAAATTGATGGATGAATTTCTTTGCGAAATAAATATTTTTCTTTAATATTGGAGGTGTAGGTCAGCTTCGAAATTAAATTTGAACTTTTGCAATTTTCAAAACTTCAGATGTAATAATAAAAAGCGAAACTATAACGAATAAATCTACTACCTTCACGAGAAAAATATTTCACAAAATTTTGAAGTCACAGGAGATTTATGAAGAACACCTCCCAAAAATTACAATATCTGAATGACCTCAAGTACGTGGTAACAAGATCTTA